TCAGTTTGAAATCAGGGAGCAGCAGCTGAGGTTGCTGATACCAGTCGTCGAGTTTTATTCAATTAAAGAGGGGTGTATGTCATACATGTTCATAATAGCCTAGTTGAAACATCTGCCAAGGTTTATCTCTCTCTCTCTCTCTCTCTCTCTCTATAAATAAATAATTATATATTACTGTTATACGATAAAAAAGATATTATCATTTACTTTGCAGGATACTGTAAGCATTTGCAAGAGGAGAGGGGGAATGATAACCGAAACTTGTCTATAATGAATGGTTCACACTGTTCAGTTTGAGCCTGATGTGATCTCGATGTCCTTCATCCCAATTACCTCTTTGTTAATTGGAGTCCCAGGAGTGGGCTTCTTAGCCATGCCATAAATCTCTACTTAAGATGTGGCAAGAGCTGTTCTTCTGTTTGCATATTTAAAGCATCTAATTTTGCATTCCAGTATTAAGGCATTAAACATTTTAATGTTTTGATCGGAATCAAACAGAAAATCTATATTGCTTGGGGTATACTTTTCAGTGGAGATTGCAATTGTAAATTCTGTTCCTTGTTGACCGATGCAATAGATATCATGTGGGCACTAGCTAGTTATGGCAATTTGCAGCTTTATAGAAATAAGTATAGAATTGAGTTAATGGAATTGATAACTTACAGGCTGACATGATTGGCTGTTGCTCTTGCAGATAAGCCACCGATCGAAGACTCCACCAGTTTCTGGAATTTCAGTTGCAAGGCAGTGGGCACCTGTATTCAGTGAGCTTCCCTTGGTCCTCAACGAGCAACAAAGCACCTATCCTTAAGATTCAGTCTCATGGGACCCAAGCTTTTGTGAACACTAATCCGGTAAAGCTTTTCTGCTAGTTTAACTTTTATTGGTTTTAAAGTCATTGGTTTTGTAATAAAAGCTTAACATCCTATATGTTAGACCTTCTCTGTCTTCCCGAACTGCATAGATTCTCGTTTTGACCATAGAAAATCCTGAGCATTTCAAAACCAAATAGCAGGGAATCTATTACTCCATTTACATATTATTTTTTCTTTATTACCATATTTCTTTGAGTGTCATTATTTTTTTATGTAGAAGCTTTTTAAGAAGCTCATTTCGGTATCTACCAGTCAAATCTTGATTGGTTTACGAAATCCTATGATGTTATCTCAAGAAAGCTTAATTTGTTTATTATTAACTACAGATTGATGTGGGTCAGAGACCTGTGACTGGCCTTCGTCTTTATTTAGAAGGTAGAAGCAGCAATGCCTGGCCATCCACATGAACATCTCTCCTCTCTTCCGAAAGTCTTCCAACTCATAGACGATCCAAATGGTGACTTCGTTGGGAGAGCTATGATCGTAATTACTATGAGAAGGTCAATGGAAGAACTTCTCATGTCTGCACTGCTCCTGTGAGTCTGATGAGGATCTTTCCATTGTAACCGGAGCACAGTTAAGGTCAAGCATCAGGGTTCAAAAGTATTCCTTTTTACAACTCCGCTTCTCAACTGTTTTGGGGCACAGCGGTCAAGCATCCAGAGTGGGACGGATCACCAGGTTTGACACCCAAGTCGGGACTAAATCGACACAATCAGCCATCACTTCACAACTGTACAGAAGCCACCTCCACGGCCAGCTGATGTCAATATAAACTCTGCAGTCTACCCTGCGGGTCCTCCAGTGCCCGTCCAAGCCCCAAAGCTTCTAAATTTGTTGATACAACAGAGATGACAAGAGGGGGCGCAGGATCCTCCCGGCTATTGGGTCGTTTCTGGGGCAAGACTAGTTGTTGAGAAGGGCCGGATCTCCTGCGGGTTAAGTATTCTTTGTTGACAGTAATAATACCAGATGAAGAAGACTAGAAGAGCTGTAGCAGATTTTTTGACCCGCTTACCTATACGGAAGAAAAGAACGGTAACAAACACAATCAAAGAAAGTGATCGAAAGCGGTATACAATTGGTGATTGATCGGTAAAACCTTGCTGTTGGAAATCAAGAATGCAGAAGAAGCCCTTTGAAAATTAAATGTTGGAAGCGACTGACGGATGATGGATGGTGGTTGTATGATTTGTTTTCATCACCATCTCTCTTGTAATTTAATTTGTATTTTTGATGTAGATTCTTGATGATAGTGCTATCTGCCTGCAGTTCGTCGGGGTTACAAACTTACAAGGGTATTGACATCGTGAATCCTCAAGTTCGATGCTTTTGTGTATTTTACTTGGTACCAAACACAGCCCAACTAGCTCAATCTCTTGCATTGAAATTAGAAAGGTTGTCTCTTTTTTAACGAAGGCATATACCAAATCATCTTCATTAATGAATATTGTTGCTGACCGATCAATAAAGCTATAAAATTACCTTACAATTGCAAAGATTTTGGACATGAAATTTACTTGAAGTAAAGAAAAAAAATTTTAAAAATTAAATTCGGACTGTAATAGATATAGAATCACAATTTTAAAGACCTCTAAGTTTCCGTAATCCGAATACCCCTCTTAGTCCAAAGTTAATAACCTTTTGATACTGAGATTTGGTCGAAAGTTAGGTCGTCCACTACACTAGAATTAAGAAAAAAAGAAAAAGAAAAAAAAGAGTTAACTGAAATTCGGTTAGAAATTAGAATAATTTTTTTTAATTATAAGAAAATAAAAATTAATAGATTACTATTTAGACTTTTTAACAATATTCTTCAAATAATTGTTAATTGACAAGGACCTATGTGTACTTTAAAATTTCTGGACCTTACAACATCGGGACCAAATTATATTTAACTCATGTTTACAGAAAGAATACCCAGAAATTAATGATCCGAAAACAAAAGCAAACAATCACAAAACTCTAATCTTATGATAGGGTTTGGGATGGATCTGTTTATATGAGGAACAGAGACCTCAAGAACAAGAGATAGAAAATTAGTTGATAAAATTCTTATTGATTACCACAATATAGATAGGCTATATAGCCTTACACTTGACTCTACTGACTCCCAAAAAGACTCTAATTATAAGGATAATAAGTCCCAAAAGGACTCTAATTATAAAGAGATAATAAGATAATCCTAATTCTATCATAATAAGATAATAATATAATTATAGAAGATAATTATAAAAGATATAATAAAAGACTTAACAAACTTATCATAATTCTAAAATAATCCTAACATTGCCTTCCTTTAGCCTCAACCTTGTCATCAAGGCTGCAAGGTATGACACCATCAACAACAGTTATCCCGTTCACCTCGTGCTCATCATCATCTCCTCCATCAGCAAGAGAAAGAACTTGGCCGTGCAGCGATGTCCAAGGTGAAAGCGCTCATCGTAATTATAGCACAAACCTTTGTTGTGGTTTCTTGCATCTGTGTTGCTGTGAGTAGCTTAACAGGCAAGGAATCCGATTTGTTTGGATAGGCAAAAGGGCCTGTTGCATGAAGGAACATTAGGAGTTGATTTACTGGATCGCAAGATATGGGGTCGAGAATGCAAGTACAGGTGTAGATCCTACAGCTTGTCCTCCTGTAAGCAGCAAGACTCATGGCATGGTGAGGGTGTGAGGCCAGAAGGACTTGCACCTCCCTTCGGATTTCTGGTTTGAGCCCTGATACAAAGCAACTTAGAAGGAACGTACTGGAAGGCCAGAAACTGATTAGAGAGTTCCTCAAATTCTGTTGATAAGCGACTACAGAACCTGTTGAGTAAGTTCGCCAACTGCCCTGGTAATCCCAAATTCGAAGGCCCAAAACGAACATCTAAATCCTGTAGCAAAGAATGCCAAGAACGAATCTGCCATTGGAATGCATCAGTGATACCAGGAGAGAGCTAGGCCATCCATGTGGAAGGAAGAGATCGTCAATCGTTGCTTAGTAGGATATTATGGTAATCAAAGAAATGCCGGCTTTAAACCTCCATCCACGCAGATCCATGCCATCAAAACGAGGGACTTCTAAACGGAAGGATTTGGGAAAAAAAAAACTCCAGGAAGTCAATCCACTCGCCAGTCAAATCGGAAGATGATTCACCGGAATATTGGTTTTGTGTTGGTTTTGCTGGTAGGTTTGATCGAACTTGTGTTTAGAGCTGAAATCTGCAAAGTAACATCTTGAAAACCAATTGTCAAAACTTCCAATTTCTTGTAAAGAAGTGAGAGTCTCTGCCTGGTAGATGTAGAGCCATAATTTTAGCAAGCGTTCATCCAAAAGACGCAAGCGAGTGCCTTCAGCCATAACTAGGGAACGAGAGCACCAATGATAGGGTTTGGGATAGGATCGTTATATGAGGAACAGAGACCTCCAAGAACAAGAGATAGAAAAATAGTTAACAAAATTTAATTGATTCTCACAATCTAGATTAGGCTATTATTAGCCTACACTTGACTACTGACTCCCAAAAGGACTCTAATATAAAGGGATAATAAGTCCCAAAAGGACGTAACTTTACCTCACTTCTCAACACTTTAGATTATAAATTCCAAGGATCCATATGTGAGCAATGTTACCTCACATCTATGTTGTCATGTCATAAAGAGTTAAAGAATATATTATCTTAGGTATGATACAATAATAAAAATCTCTTTAAAATTTCTAAAATAACATAAGTCTTTCTATTGTTAACAAACTGTTAGTGAATCGTTAAAATTTACTTTGTTATGAGTTAACAAATATTATCAATTGCTCCCATATTGATTATTTTAATATCTAAAACTTAACAAGTTAACAAAATAGAAATTTATGTTATTTTCGAAACTTTATAGGAGGATTTTTTTATTTTTATCATACTTGGGAGATTAATTTTAACCCTGACTAAATCTTAAGCTTCAAAGTGAGGGTAACCCTTGCAACGAGGGTAAGGTTACCTTGAAACACTTTCCGAAAACGTGGAGATTTGGTGAGCCGTAATTGGACGTGGCTTGACTTTGGGTAAAATCCCTGTCAATTTACCACCCACCTTTGCTGAAAATCCACCACTTTTGACTCTCTCTTCCTTTCTGTCAGTAAAATAAATGTCCAGTCTCCATCTCTCTCACATGTCAAATCACTTTCTCAAACGAAACAAACTCAGTCAATTTAATTCAATTCTAATCGCAATTATTTAATTTAATTAATTGATCAAATTTCATCCTCTCTTTTAATTTCCAGTTTATTATTATTATTCTCATCGCTTAGGGTTTCTCTCTCTACCATTTTTATTTTTCTCCACTTTCTCTCTCTAAAATTTTCTTTTCTTTCTCGAGAATCGAACGCCTCTAGGGTTTGGTGGCCAATTGGAGCGACTTCTCGGACTTCGTGAAAGTGTTGAATCGAGGACTTTGATTAAAAAGGCTCGCGTACTCACTTTCTTGGATTCATTAATTGGCTTCGATTATATTTTTTCTGTAAGTTGTTTATTTAATTTTGTTGATTTTGCTTACTGCTGATTTGAAGTTCAAGCGAATTTTCTTTAATATACTGTACCGACAGGTAGTAGCTGAAGGTTGATTGTAATTGTAAAAAAGCGCGTGAAATGCACGGGATTTTAGTGAATTTGAGCTTAATTTGGTTGTGTTTGATTGTTTGAAGTGTTTAGATCTGATTTTCGTCTGTGAAATGCGTTGAATTTGCTTAGTTCTATCTAGGAACTGCTTGTTTTGATCTGTTTGTGATTTTTATGTACTGTACGGACGGGTTGTAGGTGAAGATTGATTTGTTAAATTGTGTGAAATGGATGGAAGTTTAGTGAATTTGAGCTGAATCTACTTGTGCTTGATTGTTTAAAGAATTTAGATCTGGTTTTGGTATGTTAAATGTATGGAATTAGCTCTGTTTTAGTTAGAAACGCTTGTTCTGAACCGTTTTTGAAAATTTGCATCCTGTACGGGCAGGCTGTAGCTGAAGATTGATTTGATGAAGCGCATAAAATGCATGGGAGTTTAGTGAATTTGAGCTGAGTATGCTTGTATGTGATTTTGTAAAGAGTTAGATCTGGTTTCGTCTTTAAGTGCATTGAATTAGCATAGTTTCAGTTAGAAAATGCTTGGTTTGATTTATTTTTCACCTTATGTATGGACAGGTAACTAAAGATTGATTTGGACAGTGAGTGAAATTTGCCAAACTTTACCTGAATTTATTTGTATTTGATCGTGTTAAGAGTTTAGATCTGGTTTTTGTCTGTTTACTGGATGAAGTGTGCTTTGTTTCAGTTAGAAAATGCTTATTTTGAACAATTTGTGATTTGGAGCTCAAGGTTTTTACTTACAGTATGGACAGGTTGCTGAAAATTTGTGAAATTGCATGAAATTTCTAGAACTCTGGGGAATTTGAGCTTGTGCTTGTATATGATTGTGTAGAGAGTTTAACTCTGGTTTTTGTCTGTACAGTTCTTCGAATTTGGTTTCTTTTAGCTAAAACTGCATGTTTTGAGCTATTTATGGAGTTGATTTGAGTTTATCATGCTTATGTTTGAATTTTTGGTGAGTTTAGATCTAGTTTATGCAGAAAAAGCAATGTGAATTTGCTTAATTGAGATGAATAAGATTGGTTGGAGTTACTTTTATAGTTTGGATCTGCTTTGTGTTTGAAATTGTTGATTTGAGGTGAATGTGCTTATGATGTGCTCTTTGGATTTGTGTGAAAATTGAGCTAATTATGCACATTCTGAATTACGTGTAAGGTTTTAATTTGGTCAATATAGACAATCCTTTATCCTATCAAAAGACACGATAATCCTTTAAATTTTTATTACATTGAGCTAAATATGCAATGTTGAACTATATGTAGGTTTGATGTGGTTTTGCTGAAAAAGGAGTAATGTGCTGAGTAATGGCACTTAAGGTTTCAGCTCGTAAGGCAGCTGAAGTTGCTATTGGGTCAATCGGGCGTGGATATGATGTAGCAATAGATCTGAGGTTGAAATACTGTAAAGGGGATTTGAGTGATTCCTGTTTAATTGAGATTGATCAAGATGGAGGTCGTGAGATTGTTTTGCCTGGTGGGATATCTATTCCCAACGTGTCCAAATCTATAAAATGTGATAAAGGGGAGCGCACACGGTTTAGGTCCGATGTTCTCTCTTTCCAGCAGGTGATTTTTTGATTTTCTATGTTTGTCTTGTCGTTTTATAGTATGTGCTATGTAATTATCAAGTTTTTGGTAACACATTTAATTACCAACTTGTTGCTATAATTTTGAAGATTTTATTGATTTTTTCTTTTTTCAGAAAAATTAAAAATTACAGTGCTCCTTTATTTGACATGTGACAGTTTGGACATTCACTTTTGTTATCTAGTATTAGAAACTAAATATCTATTGTTGCATACTATTTAGTTATGCTACGCTATGCATTTGTATGCAATGTGAGAATTCTTTTCCATTGTTGAAGAGTCAGCTTCTTTTAATAATTTATGCTGCATAAGAGTTGAACTAGTTGTGTTGAACTGGTTGTTTCAAGATATAATTGCATTATTTTGATTGCATTTGGGTCCTTGTGGCTTAACAAAAAAAAAAAAAGCATGTTTGATGCAATTCAATCTGAAACTCCTAAACATTGTTTACACATATTCTTACCAGTATGTGAATGTTAGTGATTGTGATGCTATGTTATCCATCACTCTGTAGACAGCATTGTTGGATAATAGTTTTTTTGATATTTCAAATGCTGGAATAGTGAAGACCCTGTTGGAGAATAAATTTCTGATATTTCAAAGTCTTGGGACTTGGGTAGGTTGCATTTGGGATTTGATTCTTACTTTAGATGGAAGAGTTTGAGCATTGAGATTTTTAGATTGCATATTGCTCCATATGACCTACATTAGATTGTTTGAATGAAATGTATCTGGGAAGTTAATTTATTCCAATTCTTAACTTTAATCATAATAATAGAGGAGTCACTATTGATTTTGGGTGTCCTTGACACCTTTCTTTCTCTTTTGCTTCCTCCTGTTTGCCCCAGATGTCAGAGCAGTTCAATCAGGAGCTATCTTTAACTGGCAAAATTCCTTCGGGTCTCTTTAATGCTATGTTCGATTTCTCAAGTTGTTGGCAGAAAGATGCAGCCAACACCAAGACTCTTGCTTTTGATGGGGTGTTCATCTCACTCTACACTGTTGCGTTGGAGAAATCTCAGATGGTGCTTCGAGATCATGTAAAGAAAGCTGTCCCATCAGTGTGGGAACCTGCCGCACTAGCAAGGTAGACAGAAAACAATTTGAATTAGTAACCTAAATCCTACTTAAATAAGAAAATTGAATCCAAGTAAAAGATGGAATATTTGAGTTCCGAAATAGTATACTTCCTAAAACGATTGGATCCTAGTTATTCCATCATGCAATGAGTTTATGGCATCATCTTCATCATTCCAGGTTTATTGAGATGTTTGGCACCCATATTATTGTTGGTGTGAAGATGGGAGGGAAGGATGTAATATATGTAAAACAGCAACATTCATCACCTCTTCAACCTGCTGATGTACAGAAACGATTAAAAGAGATTGCAGACAAGAGGTTTTTAGATTCTAATGGACAATATAGCATACCCTCCGAACAACTTTACCCGAATGACAAGGTTTGTGATGAACTTTTCTATACTATTATTATATCTCTTCTAGGTTATGTGCCTTTTTTGTATCTGTTTCAAAGGACATAAAAGGTCGGAACTAGATGGAGCTATGTGGGTATGTTCATATTAGTTTTAAGTGGAAAGTTTTCACCTGTTTAGATTTAGGTAAATCATATTTAATGTATGAGAATTTAATAATAAGCTGGACTAGATGGTGCCAGAGTAGTTGTCATCTCTATTACTCATATCCATTCAGTATCAAAGCCAGTATTGGTTTTTTTGGTCTGTACTTTTTTCCATGTTTGTCATCTGTTCAGAACTATTGCCATGCTCAGCATTTCAAAATTTTTATGTTTGTTAAAGCTGGTTGTGAAATTTGATTCATCTGCAAACTATTCAATTAGCAATTTGGTTCAAGGATATGTTTTGCAGTTATCTTCTCCAGGTGTCTTATCTAATCATATTTTTTTCAGTTTGAAATCAGGGAGCAGCGGCTGAGGTTTGCTGATACCAGTCCGTCGAGTTCTTATTCACTTAAAGAGGTGTGTATTGTCATACATGTTCATAATAGCCTAGTTGAACTCATCTGCCAAATGGTTTATCTCTCTCTCTCTCTCTCTCTCTCTCTATAAATAAATAAATATATATATTACTGTTATACGATAAAAAATTGATATTATCATTTACTTTGCAGGATACTGTAAGCATTTGCAAGAGGAGAGGTGGAAATGATAACCGAAACTTGTCTCATAATGAATGGTTACACACTGTTCAGTTTGAGCCTGATGTGATCTCGATGTCCTTCATCCCAATTACCTCTTTGTTAATTGGAGTCCCAGGGAGTGGCTTCTTAAGCCATGCCATAAATCTCTACTTAAGATGTGAGCAAGAGCTGTTCTTCTGTTTGCATATTTAAAGCATCTAATTTTGCATTCCAGCTATTAAGGCATTAAACATTTTAATGTTTTGATCGGAATCAAACAGAAAATCTATATTGCTTGGTGTATACTTTTCAGTGGAGATTGCAATTGTAAATTTCTGTTCCTTGTTGACCGATGCATATAGATATCATGTGGGCACTAGCTAGTTATGGCAATTTGCAGCTTTTATAGAAATAAGTATAGAATATGAGTTAAATGGAACATTTGATAACTTACAGGCTGACATGATTGGCTGTTGCTCTTGCAGATAAGCCACCGATCGAAGAACTCCACCAGTTTCTGGAATTTCAGTTGCCAAGGCAGTGGGCACCTGTATTCAGTGAGCTTCCCCTTGGTCCTCAACGAAAGCAACAAAGCACCTCATCCTTAAGATTCAGTCTCATGGGACCCAAGCTTTTTGTGAACACTAATCCGGTAAAGCTTTTCTGCTAGTTTAACTTTTATTGGTTTTAAAGTCATTGCTGTTTTGTAATAAAAGCTTAACACCTATATATGTTAGAGCTTCTCTGTCTTCCCGAACTGCATTAGATTCTCGTTTTGACCATAGAAAATCCTGAGCATTTCAAAACCAAATAGCAGTGGAATCTATTAACTCCATTTACGTATATATTTTTTTTCTTTTATCTACCATATTTCTTTGAGTGTCATTATTTTTTTATGTAGAAGCTTTTTAAGAAGCTCATTTCGGTTATCTACCAGTCAAATCTTGATTGGTTTATGAAATCCTATGATGTTATCTCAAGAAAGCTTAATTTGTTTATTTATTAACTACAGATTGATGTGGGTCAGAGACCTGTGACTGGCCTTCGTCTTTATTTAGAAGGTAGAAGCAGCAATCGCCTGGCCATCCACATGCAACATCTCTCCTCTCTTCCGAAAGTCTTCCAACTCATAGACGATCCAAATGGTGACTTTCGTTGGGAGAGCTATGATCGTAATTACTATGAGAAGGTTCAATGGAAGAACTATTCTCATGTCTGCACTGCTCCTGTTGAGTCCGATGAGGATCTTGCCATTGTAACCGGAGCACAGTTACAGGTCAAGCATCACGGGTTCAAAAGTATTCTCTTTTTACAACTCCGCTTCTCAACTGTTTTGGGAGCAACAGCGGTCAAGCATCCAGAGTGGGACGGATCACCAGGTTTGACACCCAAGTCGGGACTCATATCGACACTAATCAGCCATCACTTCACAACTGTACAGAAGCCACCTCCACGGCCAGCTGATGTCAATATAAACTCTGCAGTCTACCCTGGCGGTCCTCCAGTGCCCGTCCAAGCCCCAAAGCTTTTAAAATTTGTTGATACAACAGAGATGACAAGAGGGGCGCAGGATACTCCTGGCTATTGGGTCGTTTCTGGGGCAAGACTAGTTGTTGAGAAGGGCCGGATCTCTCTGCGGGTTAAGTATTCTTTGTTGACAGTAATAATACCAGATGAAGAAGACTAGAAGAGCTGTAGCAGATTTTTTGACCCGCTCACCTATACAGAAGAAAAGAACGGTAACAAACACAATCAAAAAAAGTGATCGAAAGCAGTATACAATTGGTTGATTGATCGATAAAACCTTGCTGTTGGAAATCAAGAATGCGAAGAAGCCCTTTGAAAATTAAATGTTGGAAGCGACTGACGGATGATGATGGTGGTTGTATGATTTGTTTTCATCACCATCTTTCTCTTGTAATTTAATTTTGTATTTTTGATGTAGATTCTTGATGATAGTGCTGTCTGCCTGCAGTTCGTCGGGGTTACAAACTTACAAAGGGTATTTGACATCGTGAATCCTCAAGTTCGATGCTTCTTGTGTATTTTACTTGGTACCAAACACAGCCCAACTAGCTCACTCTCTTGCATTGAAATTAGAAAGGTTGTCTCTTTTTTTAACGAAGGCATATACCAAATCATCTTCATTATATGAATTCTGTTGCTGACCGATCACTAAAGCTCATAAAATTACCTTACAATTGCAAAGATTTTGGACATGAAATTTACTTGTAAGTAAAGAAAAAAATTTTTAAAAATTAAATTCGGACTGTAATAGATATAGAATCACAATTTTAAAGACCTCTAATGTTTTTCCGTAATCCTGAAATACCCCTCTTAGTCCAAAGTTAATAACCTTTTGATACTTGAGATTTGGTCGAAAGTTAGGTCGTCCACTACACTAGAATTAAGAAAAAAAGAAAAAGAAAAAAAAAGACAGTTAACTGAAAATTCGGTTAGAAATTAGAATAATTTTTTTTAATTATAAGAAAATAAAAATTAATAGATTAAGCTATTATAGACTTTTAACAATATTCTTCAAATAATTGTTAATTGACAAGGACCTATGTGTTACTTTAAAATTTTCCTGGACCTTACCAACATCGGGGACCAAATTATATTTAACTCATGTTTACAGAAAGAATACCCAGAAATTAATGATCCGAAAACAAAAGCAAACAATCACAAAACTCTAATTTTATGATAGGGTTTGGGATATGATCTGTTTATATGAGGAACAGAGACCTCCAAGAACAAGAGACAGAAATATAAGTTGACAAAATTCTTTATTGATTACCACAATCTAAATTTAGGCTATTATATAGTCTTACACTTGACTCTACTGACTCCCAAAAAGACTAATTATAAATGGATAATAAGTCCCAAAAGGACTCTAATTATAAAGAGATAATAAGATAATCCTAATTCTATCATAATAAGATAATAATATAATTATAGAAGATAATTATAAAAGATAATAATAAAAGACTTAACAAACTTATCTAATTCTAAAATAATCCTAACATTGCCTTCCCCTTCACCTCAACCTTGTCCTCAAGGCTGCAAGATACGACACCATCAACAACAGTTATCCCAGTTCATCCTCGTGCTCATCATCATCCTCCTCCATCAGCAAGAGAAAGAACTTGGCTGTGCAGCGATGCCCAGGGTGAAAGCGCTCATCGCAATTATAGCACAAACCTTTGTTGTGTCGTTCTTGCATCTGTGTTGCTGTGAGTCGTTTAACAGGCAAGGAATCCGATTTGTTTGGAGTAGGCAAAAGGGCCTATTGCACTGAAGGAACATTAGGAGTTGATTTACTTGGATCGCAAGATATGGGGTTGACAGAATGCAAGTATAGGTGTAGATCCTGCAGCTTGTCCTCCTGTAAGCGGGCAAGACTCATGGCATGGCTGAGGGTGTGAGGCCAAAAGGATTGCACCTCCCTTCGGATTTCTGGTTTGAGCCCTGATACAAAGCAACTTAGAAGGAACATACCTGGAAGGCCAGAAACTTGATTAGAGAGTTCCTCAAATTCTGTTTGATAAGCGACTACAGAACCTGTTTGATTAAGTTTCACCAACTGCCCTTGGTAATCCACAAATTTCGAAGGCCCAAAACGAACATCTAAATCCTGTAGGAAAGAATGCCAAGAACGAATCTGCGCATTGGAATGCATCTAGTGATACCAGGAGAGAGTTGGCCCATCCATGTGGAAGGAAGAGATCGTCAATCGTTGCTCAGTAGAGATATTATGGTAATCAAAGAATTGCTCGGCTTTAAACCCCCATCCACGCGGATCCATGCCATCAAAACAAAGGACTTCTAAATTGTTCTTGAGTTATTGATTTGATATTTGTGATTAAGGAGATGGTGAGAATGAGGTTGATTAGTTTGGAATGTGTTGACTAAGGATTTGGCAGAATTGGGATTTATTTGTTGAAATAGTCTAATTACGGTATTCATGTCAATGGATGCATGCCTTATAAATCAATCTTCAAACTCAGTTGGCCTTTTCATAGGCTATTTGCAAGTGTACGAAATGACGCAAGTAATAAAACTCGAGTAACGAGTGTCGAATCCCAAGAGAACTATCACTACCAAGTACCAAACTAATCTATCTTATATATTATTTAATAAATCAGATTCCTTAAGGAAGAAGTATTAAAAGTAAAACAAATTTAAAAGTAAATAGCAGCAAGATTATTATCAAACTTTGGTCGAAAATCAATATAATTAAACCTAGGGCACAGATTTCACACCAATTTAATCCTATGCATTGACAATTATTGCTAACCTAATTAAGCTTATTCTAAAGGCCAAATTCCCTAATATTCTGATAATTTTCTCTCGAACAATGATCAAATTAACCTTTAATCAATAACCCAAAATATCTCTAAAGTGGATTTAGAAGCCAAGAAATCATTAAGTTTTATGGAATTTACTAGAGCCTCACAGATTGCAGTAACCTATCTCTAGTGTTCCCTCATTTTGCGGTTTTATTACTTTAGACTAATTAGGTTTCATCTCTTGATCTCAACCAACCCATAAAATCATTCAACTCTTGGATTCATAAGAATTGAAAGCATTACATGCAATAATAAAATTTAGACAATGCTCAACTAAAAGTAACAACAATAAAATCAATACATATTCATAAATTGGGCTATATCTTTAGCTCTAGAAAAGAGATTTAGTTAATAATCTCAGTACTAGAAACAACCATTGTATTGAATAACATGAACACAAGAAAGAAATTAGAAAAACATCTTTAACGGGTGAACCAAAACTCCAAGAATTTTGATCTCCTGGCTGCTCTTCTCTCTTTCCAATCTCCCTAAAAACTAATTAAAGACCTTTATTTATAGTGTTCGGGTTTGTGGATCCAATCAGGAAAACATTTATTGCATTTAAAACAAGTAAAATTCGGGCTAGGCTCTGTATAGCCCATACAGGCCCGCTCTTTATCGCTGCTGCGACAGAAACGGTCGATGCGGCAATCGTTCTTCCTATCCAATGAGTCTAACATCTTCAGAATTTGGCAAAGTCATCAACACGAACGTATAAGCTTTCCAACGCCACAAGAATAATTCAATTCCGATTTCTACAGCTCAAGTTATGATCAAAACATTGAAGCATGTTTATCTTGAAGAAATTCTAGGATTTTAGTTTCATCTTTAAAGCATTACAACTTCCCCGTTTCAACTCCGATTCTTACACCGCTCATTCATACTCGTCACAAATTTCATCGACATCATTCTTCTTCATTCAAATATCATTTATGACTTGAAAATACTCAAAATACACTTGTGATCCCATAAAAGGTATTTATGAAATAATTAACTTAACTTTTGCAATGTAAACTAATTTTCCCACAAATAATCTAATTGAATCACCAACTAAACACATATTTTCAAGCTCTTATCACAACCTCCAACCAGCTTCTTGCTAGTCTCTAGCAAACTAAGCGATAAAACATGTCTTTAAGCTTGAAAATAAAATAAACAATTAAAACTTATATCTAAACTATCATAAATCATTTCCGTAGATTGACACGATTACATTTAGCGTATGCAACAAGCCTTTAAACCCCTAGGCGGCCCTAGTTAGACGAGTTGTAGTTTCGTGAATGTTTCCAGCGATGATACCCACACATAACAAAATAGAATAATTAAAAATCACCTAACCCACAGACAATGCAAACATCAATTCCATTTTCGTTATTGACCCTAGAACATCTATACAACCTCAAACCATTAGTCTAAAAACCCGAATGATTTTATGCATAACATTCATAGATAAAAATTTGATCTCTAGCATTCGGCTTATGACCCAAACATGAATCATGGAATCAAACTCCAAAGGCTCACTCTTCAAACTACTCTCCACTAATGTAGAATTTCACACTACCTTGGATCAATAGGTCAGGGTATGGGTTCATGAAAGAACGGAAAGGAATCCCTTTGACATGTTTATTTATAATTTGAATTGGATCTAGCATGCGATAGAAAACATTTAAGGTCCATGCAAATTTTTTTTTTTGGCTTTTGAAAGTGACTTTTAGGCCCATATTTTTTATCGTTAGCCTACATCTTTTGTCTCAGATAGGGGTATAATAGTATTTAGAAAAAATGTAAACAATGGTTCTTAATTCTTATACATATTAAAAAATTTAGAAATGATTTATAAACATGTTCATTATTTTGCTTAAGATCTGAAATATTTTAATATATCTTGTTTCTAGCTATAAAGTTATAAACTCTAAGTCTAACGTAAACCCCTTGTTTGATTTAAGTTACGTTATACGATCAATTTTCCATTTAAACAATATAATTCGTAGCATATTTCCAAAATATAAAACTTAGAAAAGAAAACAAAAGAAGAAGAAGAAACTAACAAAAAACGCTTCAAAAGAGTATCAAACAGTAGTTGTATTTGCTTTTGATATAGTTTAATATGAGATCTGAATAGGGGTGGGCAAAAAGCTTGGGCCCAAAGGGCCGTGTCCCAAGACTGGTCTTGGGACCGGGCCAAGCCCTAGGGAGGGGTAATCGGGCCCAAGTCGGTCCCTCCTCCAAGGCTCGGGCTCGGTTAATTTCCCAAATATATAAAAAATTACAAAAACCCCCTTACATGATTATATAAAATATATAAAAAATTAGGGGGGCTAAATAGATATTAATCAAGCCTAGGCTTGGGACTAGTCCGGACTTGGGACCAGTCCGAACCCTCACAAAAGTGACAAACCCAAGACTGGTCTAGGCCAATTTGGGTTCAATCCCTCAAGGACTAGTCCTAAGTTGGGATTGGTCCCAAATTGGACTGATCCTTGAGGGCCTGGGTCTAGGACCAGTTGGGGCCCTGTTTGCCCACCTCTAGATCTGAAAATTAATTTTGATTATAAAGAAGAGTATTAAGTAATTTTGATAATTATCAAGAACTTTAATTTCCTTATGAAATTATGAATTCTTATTAACCTAAATTTCTTTTAATTTTTCAGTAATTTTGATTCATTATCAAGAACTTTAATTTCCTTGTGAAATTATGAATTCTTATTAACCTAAATTTCTTTTAATTTTTTGTGTAACTGTAAATATACAGCT